CTGCAGGGCAGCCTGGAGGTAGGTGCCTGCCTCTGGGAGCCCATCGCCAGCAGCTGCCTGCTGGCTGGCATCTTTGCTGTTTACAGAACAAACACCTCATGCTCTGATTTGAGGAACATGGGGAAGAAGCCTATTCTTGTCACTCCCAAAAATCCCTGTCCGGGATGCGGCGCAGTGCCTGGGGTCCCCCAGGCACAGGCAGGCTCTGCTTTTGCAGCTCCTGCTCCATCCCCCTGAACTGGCCAGCAACAAATCAGTGCTGCCTTCGCCTTCCCGATGGGATGCTCGCTGCCTTCATTTTCTCAGAGCTTATTTTCAGCACTGCTTTGCTCCTTGCAGTGCTGGTTACCTGCAGAGCTGCAAGGCGGGCAGGAGGGCTATGGCTGCACCGTTCCCTGCAGCCCTACCCATGAGGGAGCTGTGTTTCCGCATTGGCTTCACCGGCCTCTCCAAGGGCCTCATTAGCTTGGCCCCGGTGCCCTGCTGACCGCAGCACATGTGGCTGAGGCTTGTAGCTGGTTATGTTGAGAGTCCACGCTCGTGACCACCTGCAGAACCAGCTCCACAGCCATTCCAACCATCCCCAGGCCCCTCGGCAGATGCAGGCATGGATGCAGGCATGACACGCGGGTGCCTCGGTTTCCCCAGAGGGTGGAGAGGATGCGGCTGGCTCCCCTCCTCCTGATGGTGTCAGGTCCACTTAACTCGGACAGTCCCTGGAAGAGGAGCTGTCACACAGTGTGTGTTTGTGCTGTGCCCTGGGGGTCCAGATCCTGCCTTGCGCCTCTCAGCACCGTGGCCCCGTAAACGTTAATGGCAACGGTAATCGGAGGAGACTTCTCCCAGCTCCTGGTGCTGGGACAGCCAGTAAGTGGGGACGAGGACTCCTGCACGCTGCCTCGCAGCTAAGTGCCTGCTGCCTTCAGCCTGCTATTCTCTCCCTGGCACTGGACAAGGCATCCCAGGGTTGGTTTCACACAGCCAGCCCTCACTCACACTGCCTCCCTACAGCAAACTCAGGAGGGAGCTCTCAAAATCCTGTGCTGGCTTTCTGCCGAGGAGAAGAAGGTGCAGACCCAAGCCCCTGACTTGCCCTGGGGAGAGCAGGCGTGGGGGCTACCACGCTCTCCTCCTCCTCCTCCGCTGAGATTCTCCTCTACAGGCGCCTGCAGCAATGGCTTCATATAGCAGCTCCTAGCCATTACCAAACTGTAATTAATACAAATAAATGAGATGAGCTCGCCACAGTAGGGTGAATGGAAACCTGAATGACATATCCACCGGGATTCATTTATTCTGCACTTTTCTCTTTTTTTAATACTATTTGCTTCCTCACAAATTAATCACAGATTGCCTAGGACTAGAGGCAACTCTGCAGCTTGGCCGGGTGGCCCCAGGGGACAGGGCAGAGGCAGCCCAGCAGCCCAAGTCTCAGCCCTGCCTGTGCTGCCCTGGTTAACAAGCAGCTCCCCTCCCTCTGCCTCGGTTTCCCTCTCCCCGGCAGCCACTGCAGCTGCCCACATCACGCAGACGTGACTGTCCATCTTGTCTTCTCCAGGGAGCTTACCAGCCCCTACGGAGGGACAGGCTTGCCCATCCGCTGAGCCTCTGGAAAAGGCAAGCACAGGGGTCCCAGCAGGAGGGGTCTGTGCCCCAGCCTGCCTGCGGGCCGGCCCTGACCTGCGGCCCCGGGACAGGCACCGCCAGGCCAGGCAGAGGGAGGAAGGAGCCCGGCCGTCCCCAGCCGCTCCCTCCCACTCAGACGGGCAGTACCTCCAGGGCATCCCTCAGCCCCTGCACAGTCCTCCATCCCAGCACATCCCTCGCCCCCGGAGCATCCCTCAGCCCTGCTCATCCTTTGATCCCAGCACAGCCATCAGCCCTGCCGCATCCCTAAACCCCGGCGCATCCCTCGATCCCAGGGCATCCCCCAGCCCCGGTGCGCCCCGGGACCCTCGCAAACCCCGCAGAGAGCCACCTCCCTCCCCCCCACCGGGGCAGGGCCCTGCCGTCCCGCACCGAGGAGCCCCCCG